ACTGAAACAATAATTCAGGACTGACAATACAGCACTTGCAGACCCCACTGATCACTAGATCCAAAAATACTGTATATACTTCTTTTAATAAAAAAAAACAGAACTATCATCAAATCTTTGCTGATTCAATGGTCTCGTAAGATTTAAAGAAAAAGATTTGGTGATATAATTTGCTCACTCATTCAGACATAAGTGCCCTAAAAGAAAATTCTGGTGGCCTTAAAAGATTGCCAAGCAAAAATCAGTCAGGATTGTCAGGGAAAGTAGAGAAGATGAAGGAGTGGAGAATGAAACTGTGGCCAATCAACACACAGTAATCTTCTTTTTTTATTTTATAAAAATTATTGTGGGTAGTCTGTACAGAGCTGTAACATACAAATAGTCCTTGACTCAAAACCATTCATTTAGTGACTGTTTGAATTTACAACAGCACTGAAAAAGGTGGCATACAACTGGGTTTGCACGTATGACTGTTGCAGCATTCCTTTGATCATGTGATCAAAATGTCAGCGCTTGACAACAAGCATGTATTTACAATGGTTGCAGCATCCCAGGATCATGTGGTGGCCATTTGCAACCTTCCTAGGAGGCTTCTGAAACTACAGTCAATGATGAAAGCCGGATTCACTTAACAACCACCTGATTCACTTAACAACTGCAGTGACTCATTTAATAATTGCAACAAAAAAAAGACTATAAAATCAGCACGAGTCACTTAACAACTACTTCACTTAGCAACAGAAATTCTGGTTCCAATTGTAGTCATAAATCCAGGCTTTATCTATTGCACAGAGTTTCAGTCACAATCAACATCTTGACTTTACTTTACGGAAGCCTCTGTTATGGAGCCATGTATGATTCCTATAAATTATAATGGAATTAGATGATGGCATTCAATGAATTAACAACTGATGATGAAAGCATTCAGATAGTAGATTGATTGTATTGGGCTCAAGAACAGATAACAATAATCCATTGGAAAAATAAGGAACAGGTTAAATTTAGAAGAGGAAAGCAATAAGCATCTTATCTTATCAGATAAAATAATAAAGGATAAAGACATTTTTACTTACAACAAAGATCAGAATTCTAAAAGCAATCTTTCCCCAGTGGAAAAGTATGTGGTTGTGAATGCTGGCTACTGAGAAAGATTGAAATTTGAATTAGAGATCTGGACTTGTTAATAATAAGTTTGTACCATGGGCTACAAGAAGAACCAATAAATGGGCCTTGAGAAAAAATAAAAACTGAAGACAGTTGAGACAATGATCAGCAAGCAGAAATTCATAAACTTTGAACATGAGATATAAGAAGGTGATGAACTACGGGTGGAAAAAGTCAGTTCTGCTTGGCAAACCTGAGAGCTGTAAAAGAAAGAGAAGCAATGGATAAGATGGATGGACATATCAGGCACATCCCTTGAATGTCCTTGGAAGAAATACAGAATGTCACAGATATAGATAAAGTTAGAAAATATCTGCCCGTACAATTACCAAAAGTCAGACCCAACTAGATTGTATCTAATATTGTTGCTTTGCAGCACAGTCAGTTTCTTTCTTACTTATATACTTACAGGTCCTTATCTAAATATTTCTTTTAAAAGAAAAGCTGACAGTTCAGGGAATGGAGCCTTTCAGTCCCAAACATTGCTTGCCCATGGCTGCAGCTATGTTAGTTATATTATGGTGGGTCACTTCCATTCAAAGTTTAAATCCATTGGGTTTTTTTCAAGTATAGTTTGTAGAGCAAGGATGAAGACTTGATGAGAAATTGGTAAATGCTATGACAGAACATACATTTATAAAACTATCTATGAGAGGCTTAACAAGTTTGGGCTATACCATATTGTTTGATTCCATTTACTTAGGATGGTATGTGAAGTTAGCCAACACTTTCAGGCATAGTGTAGCAATGTAGCACAGCTTTGTTGGTTTCGGGAGTGGACCATGGTAAATATGAACTAGAGAGAAAACTCTTCCTAAATCACTGCTTGATGCAACCATTTCATTGGGTATGTAGCCCTCAGAAAGGTGTCTTAGCCAACCTAGCTGTTGTGTCTTGATTGTCCAGAGGGAATCCTTAGAAGGCCAATTCACATTGTTCTTAGAATTTTCTTAGAGTCATGGTTGTAGATTCATGGTTCAAATTTTGCACAATTATGGAGACCCTGAAACTTAATAAACTATTATAAGGCCATGAAAGTTTATATAGACCTACCAAGATGTCATCCCAATACTCAAAGGATTCCATAAAAAGGAGTATTGTTTATTTATTTCATTTTCCTAACCAAAATAAAAACAGTCCTTCTTTTATACATTTACACTCCCTGAAACAAAATTCTGTTTTTCCACCTGCCAGTATAGTTATCAAAATAGAGATTTATTAAGGTCAATCATTATTCATGGTTTGCATCTCAGTAGAAATTATTTCTTAGTGGAAAGGTTTTGATGAAAGGAGGGGAGATCTTCAAAGTGAGTTTCCTCAGACTGGGAATTGAAATCACCCATAAGTGATGGAAATTACATTTTTTTAAATGGATCAAACTAGTACCGGCAAAGTGGGCTTATTATCAAAACCAGTTCCAGGTTTTCCTCCGTACATCTTGGCTGTTGAAACCTGTATTGTAGTGCACAGTTGGGGCACCACAAACTTTGAGAATTCTTGTAAAGTACCAATTGAACTGTAATTATTAGTTTTCTTTAAATTTGTCATAATTAAAAGTTATCCTATATATAATTAATACTTGGATTTTAATCTATATACCATTTTAATTATACTTAAAACTTGTTTTTAATTATTAAAGTGAAAACTACAACCCAATTAAATCATTAATTTTGTTCATGGGGATACACAAATCCATTTGTCATTTCAGTGGGAGATGTCACAATGTTGCAGGACCACTGCCTTAAATAATGAGAAACAAGATGTCAAATGAGAATTTTATGAAGGGCAGATATCAAATAATGTTTTCATGGTTTTTGTATACATAAAAGACAAGTAGCAAAATATATAAAGAAAAGGAAGAGAGAAAATAAGAGGAAAAAATGCAAAAAACGATCCAGTTAAAATATAATAATTAAAGAAGTGACTTCTGCCCTTCTTTAGAGCAAATAAACTAATTATCTTTCTCCTTCCTTAGCATTACAATAATTCCTTCAGTCTCTTATTCAACCCCATCATCAAGACTAGAAATTACTGTTTCACTTGTTTACATCTCTAAAATAAGTCAATTTTGCCAACTTTGCTAACCCTGCCATCTTCACAATCTGTTCTTCCATTGTAGGTATTTCAATTTTTTCCATTTCTGCACATATTACAATTGTTCAAAAATGCACTTAACATGTATATAAAATAAGAAAAGTTCTGGTCCCTTAAACATCTTTGTTGCTCTTCTCTACACTCTTTTCAGAGTCTCAACTTCTTTGTTATGTCATGGCAACCAAAACTGGATACAATATTCCAAATGTGGCCTAACCTTACTATGGTATATATGAAATGGTAAGTTCAATCCTTCTGCCCTTAAAAATATAAAAAATTCAGTCTGCTGACCACCAAGAATGTTTTGCTCTTATCAGGCATTTAAATGGAGCAGACTTTCTTTGTCCACTTATTGTTGATGTAACCTCAGTTCCTACATTGATAAGGATTCAGGAGATAGTTTTATATCTAGCCACCTGCAAGGTTCATCTTTATCAGTGAACAGACCCATCAGAATTATCTGCTAGTTTACACAAAGACAATAACAAAGAAAATGAGGACAGCTCCATCCTAATGTGTGTTGGTGATATATTGCTGTACCCAGGAAACTGTTCAATTTCTGGGTTTCTTTGAATTCCATCCTTTTTCATTTTAATGCCTCTTACTAAGGAAACTTAATGAGAATTTTGCTTGGAAAGGAACAATTTCAGTATATTGGAGAGGTTAAGAGCTTGACATCTGCTTTCTGGGAACAGTGGGATTTATTGTCAAGCAGATATAAGTGACAGAGTTGGAGAAGGCTGTTGTTATGATAATCAATTGTATGTAAGTAAGCTATCATCTGTAAGCTATCAACTTACTTTATCTTTGGGACAAAGTATATAGCTACATACAGCAGCAATATTTTTTAAACCATTGAAGTTTCAGAAGAAGTTATAAAATTAGGAAAAATCAGAATACCAAAAAAATGTTGATTATTAATTCAACTCAAAGTTTCTAGGCATGGAAAAGAATCTTCCATATGAATCAGGAAGTAAAATAAAATTATACATTAACAGGTGGGCATAAAGCTTTATCAACATTATTATTATATATAAAGAAAAATTCAGGCCTCCCAAATATATATAGACTTGTCCACACATTTATATTTCAAATCACTGTTTTTCAGTTGGTTTAATTCACATCTCTGGCTGCCCAAGAAAAAGCACAAGCACTCATTTTACTTTATTATATACCACACCACAAGATACAATTTATTTAAATGAAAAAAGAATTTGAAAAGTAGATATACGCTTTCTTTTAATAAACTGATTCAATTTCTACAGCAAATGTTTGTTCCATTAGGCTACCATTTAATTTTTATTGACAGACAATCTCAATTTCACCAAAGTGACTGATAGAAATAAATATTTTAATAACATTTAGCTATTAAATGTAGGTGCTTCTGGATAAAATGATATTGTTATTTTAAAACAATATCATCTTTTTCAAAATTATACGCATACTATGGTGTAATTTTAATTAGCTAATGACCATAGAAATAAAATATGAAATCTTTCTGGAGATGTTTCCCTGTCCATTGCCCAAATACATTTCTATAACAGTTTCTCCTAAAGCAATTCAAATTATTGCAGATTAAATGCCCTCTGTTTTAAATAACTTCCATTAGTTAATGTCTTGAAATTGTGAGTTGGGTAATGAAATACGGTTCCTTATTTTGGGTAGTGAAATATGGTTCTTTATGATAAACAAGACAGAAGGGAGACCTTTCTCGGCACTTTGTTCATATCTACATGCTATTCTTATAGCAGAGTGTCAAATATTTCATCAGGATATAAGAGGAAGCCTGAAAATATGCTGTCATCTTCAGCACTAACATAAACCCCGTTCCAATCCCTTGTGACTTCTAGCCACACTTGGTCCCCTGCATTTAACTTCAGAATGGTAAGGAAGGAAGCCTGGTCTATCTCCTGGCCATAGAGCGTCTCCCGACTTCTGATCATCTTCTTGTTCTGACAGACTATACTGATGCGGGCAGGACGTCCGCGTATTGTCATATGATAGGAGAAGACATAAGCCCCAGCAATGCTGCAATTAAATTTCCCTGTCAATGGATTATAATGTTCCTGGTTGTTGTACAGTATCTTATCAAACTTAATAGGCAGGTTTGGGGGTGGGAAAGGTTTGGATAGACCAACACTAAATGCTGATCTGGGGAGGGTTGGAGTCTCACCTTTTGGACCTTTTGGACCTCTTGAACCTTTTTTACCAGGAGCCCCTCTGATTCCTTTGAAACCGAGACTTCCTTTCACCCCTGGAGGCCCCATCAACCCAATTGGACCTTGGTCTCCTTTGTCACCCCTAATTCCAAGTTCCCCCTTTTCTCCCTTTTGTCCATCCTCCCCGTGCCCACCTTCCACTCCTATGTCTCCTTTAATGCCCTTTTCTCCTTTTGGCCCAACATCACCCTTCTCTCCTCTTTCTCCTTTTTCCCCTGGATCCCCCAAATAGCCTTTTTCACCAATGTCCCCCTTTTCTCCTTTTTCCCCATTTTCTCCATCAACACCTGGTAACCCCAGTTCCCCCGTGTCTCCCTTCTCTCCTTTGGTGCCATTCTCACAATTTTCTCCCTTGGAGCCCTTTTGACCTTTGACTCCAGGAAGACCATGGTTTCCTTTATCTCCTTTAAATCCAACTTCACCTAAGAGTATTAAAGACAGAAGTAAAAGGTTAAAAGGAAAAACATCAAGCAACATCATGCTCCAGTTCATGCATCAGCTCTAAATTGCCAGGTCCCTTATTATTACATAAATGGCATTTGCCAATTCCCATCATCATAATTACTTAGTTTTTAAGTCCTTCACTTTCAAAGACATCAGTATAGAAGAATAATACTATGTAGATATGGGCATGAGACATGCAAGTATACAAGTATATCTGTGAAGGAATTATTGGTTGTAACAGGTGTGTGTTGGAAAAGGTAGTCATCCACTATGGAAAGGAGTCCAACATCTTAATAATGACTACATGACTACATTTAAATATGACATACTGTATTTTTGTGCAATTTTAAAATGGATATGTCAGACAAGCATCAGAATATAGAAAAGGCCTTTTTAAAATATTTAATACATACCCAACCCTATGAGAAAAACACTATCCATCCATCGTGTTGATAATAAGAGTGATAATGAATAATCCCATAATAATGGTACTTCATTAAAATATTCCAAAGGTATTTAAGCTTGAAAATAATAAAAGTAGGATCTTCTCCAGTGGCTCTCAGCCAACCATCATTATGCTGAAATAACTCTAATCAGGATATGCTGTCTCAAAAATTTCTGAAGGAAACTAGAAGATGTTATGTAACTTTATGAGGAAATGGCTATGATAATCTGTTTTCAAGGAAGACTGTTAACTAAAATATAATGTTTACTTCCCCAGCACAAATATCTAATCCAACCCCCAACTTACTATCCTGCAGATGAATTGAACTCCATTGTTTCCAACCATCTTAACTTTTTCCAAATGAGAATTCTCATAGATACTTTATTGCCTTGTTTTTTCTCAAAAGTTATGCAGCATACCTGGTTCTCCAGGTCTGCCTGGATATCCTGGGAGTCCATTTGCTCCTTGATCACCATGTTCTCCTTTATCTCCTATGACATTGTTCCCAAAATATAAAGTATATGTTAACTGTTAATGTACATTCACCATCTCAGGATTGACTTTTTTTAATAATTTCTCAAAGTGCAGCCTGAAGCAAAAGTTGAGTTGTTTTGAATAGGCCTTCTCAATGCTGCTGCTGCCTCCTCCCCTTCATCTTCATCATCATCATCATCATATCCTCACTTAGGAGGTACTACAAAAAGAATTATAGCTCTTTGTTTTGCAGGGATAGAACATTTTGGAAATATAAGTTTATATTAACTTCCCACTCTTAAAGGATAATCAAGAAATAATGGCTGCCAGTTTGCTTCTGAGTCCGATTCAAGGTGTTGGTTATCACCTTTAAAGTCTTTCATGGCATGGGTCCAGGCTAGTTGAGGAATGGGCTCATCCCAATGGGATTGGCCTGTTCCACCCGGATAGCTCCTTTGGGGCCTGCTGCATAACCCATCAGCCAAGGAAATTCAGCTGGTAGGATCCAAAAATAAAACTTTTTCTGCCATGGTTCCTGCCCTCTAGAATATCTCCCCCCTCTGCCCGGTGATCAAATCTTATTTGGCCTTCCAAGAGGCCTTGAAAATGTGACTACGCCAATTAGCCTAGGACCCAATAAAGATATGACACATTGTAGGGGGCTGGTGGAGTAGAGAATACCTCACCTCTTCCTTGTGCGCGCTTTGTTCCTTCCATCTCCGTCTTTCTTAGATTTATTTTAATTGAATTTTTAAATTAAGATCTCTATTTTTTAATGGTTTATACCATAATTTATTCCTTGTCTGTAAGCCACCTAGAATTGTCTTTGGCAAGATGGGCAGCATATAAGTTGATCAATAAATAAATGGGAGAAGGTGACCAAAGTCAGAAATCAAAGATAATTTTTATTTTTTCCTTGGAAGGTTTTTACCCTCATTTGTTGGGGAACTACTTCTAATTAGGGCACCTCATCCCATGTTTTAGTTCTGCTTTCTTTATCCCCTTCAATAGGTCAGCTAAATACATGAAAGTTCACTTCTTACATTTGGAAAATATTGCTACAGTAATCCAGTCCATGGTGGTGGTGATTGTTTTTAAGAATTTTAATATTGTTCTTACCTTTGTTTCCTTTGAATCCTTTTGATCCTGGCAATCCAGGAGTTCCTGGTAGACCAGGACGGCCTTTTTCTCCTACTTCTCCTTTAAGTCCTTTTTTTTAAAAAATGGAATGTATATATTTGAAAAGATTTATATGTTACAGAATTAAATACAATGTCTTTAATACAGTTATTTAGTTTTGCTGTCATAAGTCTTTGGATTCTTTTTTTATATTGTTATTACTACAAATAGTCCTCAACCATTCATTTAGTGACCATTTGAAATTACAACAGCACTGAAAAAAATGACATCACCATTTTTTTCACTTATGACCATTGCATCATCCCCATGGTCACCTGATCAAACTTCAGACATTTGGCATATTTGTTCATATTTAGGACAGTTGCATTGTCTCAGGGTCATATGATCATCTTTTTGTGAACTACTGACAAGTAAAGTCAATAGGGAAGCCAGATTCACTTAATAGCCATGTTACTAACTTAACAATTACAATTATTCACTTAACAGCTGTGGCAAGAAAGGTCATAGAAGGGGTCAAAACCCACTTAGCCACTGTCTTGCTTAGCAATAGAAATTTGGAGCTTGTAAGTCAAGGACTATGTGTACTATTAGTACAATTTGCTACCTATAGACTAGGAAGACTACCTTTGAAGTAATTATTTTGTGTTACTGTTGTTGAAAATCAACAACAAACTTTGAAAGCCACTGATAGCTCTTCACCATGAAAAATAGATAAAACTGCTCAAATTAAAGAGGAGCAAAGTCAACTTTTTGTTTTTGAATAGTTACCCACTTTATCTGCTGTTATGCTGCTTCTTCCCCACACCCATCCTAGAACTTACACAGAGTTCTAAAACAGATTCATAGCCTCCACCTGTTGCCGAAAGTGGGGGGAGACAGTTAGTTCATACCTTGCTAATAGATGCATTATAGAATTTCATATTCATGTTGGTTTAGATTTTCCTTGATAAGAATCTAAGAACAGAAGAAGAATTTTGCTTTTCGAATCCAAAAATTGATTGATTTTTTTTTATACTAGTTTAGGACCTTCTGATTCAGCATGGACACCCTGGCTGTACCTCTGCTAGCTTTCCAGAAGAACATGTTTTTTACTTGGACTTCTATGGTAACTCAAGAAATATATGTTTGATTTAAGGAGCAGTAACAGAGTAGAGGGCTGCATCTTTAAGAGGCAGTCAAGAGGTAAGGCCACTATGCTACATATGAAACACCTTTGCTTGGCTTGAATACAGCATAATTCTAAATCAGGCCAATGGCCCAACATAATCAGGCCAATGGCCCAATAATCCAACATTCTAACTGATATTGTAATCAGTCAGGATGCATTCAGAAAGAAAATTCATAAATGAATCAGAAGTTGAACATCCACTTCTACCATTGCTTCCTATCAACTGATATTTAAAGCAATATGCTTTTAGAACATTCATTAAGTCTAGCAGCTGCTGACAATCTGTTTCTCCTGTCCTATTTAGAATATCTAAATTAGTAAATCATAAATTTGAAAGTGAGAAATTCCACAAGTAAACAGTTGCTATTTATGCTGGTTTAGGACTGTAGCAAGGATTGGATTGGGATTGGGATTGGAATTGGAATTGGATTGGATTGGATTTTCTGTACCTGGCAATCCTGTTTCTCCAGGTTCCCCTTTCTCCCCTGGAGTTAAAACACAACAATCACAGCAGTTAAAAAAGAAGTCCGAAGAGTCCAGAGTAAAGTTTTCAAATGGGAAGAGTGTGATGGCTGTTCTGGAGGCATAGTGTGGCGTAGACAATTCTGTTGTGACATCGTTCTTTTCAGGTATTTCAGTGAGGAGGCTGTCTTCTGTGGGGGCTGCATCAGAAGCATCTGGGTTCTTGGTGGTTTTCATCTCAATAGCTTTTACTTTAGTAAACTTTGGAAATGGGGTGCTTTTACCCTCAATAGTAAGGTCAGCAATTGTTGTTAATAGAAGGATGCAGGACCAGATCAGGCACCACATTTTTGCGGCTGTAGGAACAGTTAATGCAACAGTATATCATAACTTGAATATTTATACATCCTATATTTTTACTTCTTAAGTTGTGTAAACAAACTATTAAAAGACAGGGCAATAAGGATGGTTCTTTTTGTTGCAATACACAGTTCAGCATCCTTGTTTCAGCCATTGTGCAAAATTGAGCTAAGTTATGCTAAAACATCTAAATCTGAAAGCATTATTTCCAATAAAAAATAATGTGAATGCATAGATGTGATTTCCCCCTTTTTCTTTTATTTCATTTGCTTTTTTAGTGTATGGTCTTTTCAGTTCTTTATGTTTTACTCCTTTTGATGAAATAACCAGCTAACATACACATGTCCTGTGTCCAATTTCCTATTTAGATTAAAATTCAGTAGGGACTCATATAATGCCAAGGATGAATGCTGAGCCATTCCAGCTAATTAAAACTGTACCCATTCTCTTCTTTGTGTACACGCTTCATACATCTCTAATAATGGCCCATACCTAAGCAGATGTCTGGGAACAGTTAAAACAAATATGGTCACATGTTACGATTACTCATCTCTTTCTTTTTCATGCTCTTATGGAATTACTCTTCCATAAGGTGATTAATAGCAAAATTACTAACTACCAAATATGTTGACTTCATTTTTAGCATTTAGCATCCCATAAGAATTTAAGTCTATGTGCCACCCTCATTTCATCTGTTACTGTAGCATTAGGTCAATTGGCCATGTTTTCCTCAAGCAAAGAATGAAAATCCTACAACTGTTTGACACACTCAGAGCAATAAATCCAGGCCTAGCTTTGACAGCCATATTACATGTCAAGTTTATTTTCATACTGAACAGAGAGAAATAGAAAAGTGTTAATCCTTGATTTACAACCAAAATTACATTCAAAATTTCTGTTGCTAAGTGAGTGAGTTGTTAAGTGAGTTTTGCCCCATTTTATGAGCTTTCTTGGCATAGTTGTTAAGTGAATCACTGCAGTTGTTAAGTTAGTAACATGGATTGTTAAATGAATCTGGCTTCCCCATTGACTTTGTTTCTCAGAAAGGCACAAAAGATGGCCCCAGGACACTACAACGGTCATAAATATATGCCAGTTGCCAAGCATCCAAAATCTGATCACATGACCATAGGAATCCTGCAGTGATTATAAGTGTGAAAAATTGTCATAAGTCATTTTTTTCAGTGCCGTTGTAACTTCAAATAGTCATTAAATGAACTGTTGTAAGTTGAGAACCACCTGTATATGGAAAGAAAATATGGAACCAATACAGCAAATGGTGAACTAATAAAGCTGAAATTACTCTTGGCAGTTTGTCATCTTGTATTTTTGGGTCTCAGTCAACAGTCACCAACTCTACCCTCTGGCCTCTACCTGTTCAATGGAAAGGTGATATTCATACATTGAGATATGCTTGGACTCTCCATGTAATCAAAACCTCTATTTCAAAACCTTCCTAACTGCATAGAAAGTCTTTATTGTAAGGAAACATAATCAGGCTGAGAATAAGTGCAAAATGACCAGAAGAGAAAATCGGTTTGCCACTAGATTTTAATAGATTTGTCTGTATCTGTATCACACTAGTATAGAACACGCCCAAGGTAAGTTAATAAGGCAAACCTGTCTAACTTTCAGTGAGTTGCCCATGCCACAGAAAAAACTAGTTGTACTTTTGGGTAACAAGACCATATATTCTTACACTAAACCAGGTGTTTCCAAACTTGGCAACTTTAAGTCTTGTAGACTTCAACTTCCAAAATTTCCAGAAATCTGGGAGTTGAAGTCCACAAATCTTAAAGCTGCCAGGTTTGGAGACCCCAGCACTAAAATATAACATAGAACCTATATGCAAAGTCAAGGAAGGAAGGTTTGAGTAGGATGGAGGTCTTCAAATCCCATTCTATTTGGAGCTATGGATGCAATAATATTCACTACCCTTCAAAATGGTTCCTTTTAGATCATGGGTGTCAAACTTGATTGTGTCATATGACATATCATGATGTTTTTTGCCTCTGCAGAGCATGACGTATCCAGCCCATGTCTGACAGTTTGACATGCCTGTCTTAGATGATCTTCTTTGGTGACAAGAATTCCTATAACAATACAGTCATAGAAATAGCTAAATGGACACTTTTATCAAAATAATATTCTTCTGTGTCATATCAGACTTTTCACATCTTTGCTTTGGATTAAAAATGGATGGAGAAATCCACATTTTTCAAGGAAATCATTTCATATCTATCTCAGAAAAGGTATATATGATACATGATATAATAATGTATCAATCATTCTTTATAAGGAGTAGAAATATTTATCCTATGCAAGATCAAATACAAAAATCCAGCCATTATCTACTGATGATGAAAATGTTGTCACTCTAATATTACTAATAACAACTTTAAAAACTTTGTGGATGAGCGAGAACTTTTTCTTCTGCTATATAAGCCTGCGTGAACAGGAACATTCTGAGAGCCAAAAAAATTTCAGAGCTCATTTAGAGCACTACAGAGCTGAATAACAATGAGATGATTTCATAATAACTATCAGGTCAAGCTTAATTACACACATTAAAAGTTTTAATAGGAAGCAAATTTAGATGCTTGTAACTCAATGCAATAGGAAGATATTTAATTGGGCTATAACGTATTCTGCATATTCATGAGATTTCATATAGATTTGCTTATCACAAGATGAGTATTGTGAGACTAAACCAAATAACTAGCATATTACCTCATGGGCTTTCCAGAGACTCCCCATGGTTAACTAAATCAAAGTAACAAAAAGTAGTTTCACTCAACCAATAGACAACCCATTTATATGATAAGGTATCATTGGGGAAATCACCTCCAGCTTAAAGTCTTAGTAAAACTCATTAGGCAAAAGAGTTAACTGCATCTGTGACTGGTGGCTCCTCATTCAAATGAAATGCATCTGGAACAATATAGAAAAGAAATGTATGTTTGTTTTAAATCTCTCTCTCTCTCTCTCTCTCTCTCTCTCTCTCTCTCTCTCTCTCTCTCTCTCTCTCTCTCTCTCTCTCTCTCTCTCTCTCTCTCTCTGAGGGTTCCAAATGCATTCACAGCTTGCCTTGAGCAGCCTAGCTATATGCTCCAAATGTTGTCAAAATGTCCATTCGAAGCCACTCACATTATCACTGAAAATATAAATTGGAATTGTATGGGACTGGATGCTGTGCACTCCTCTTCTCAGAAAGAAAGGACCCTTGTAAGTATACTATCCTATGTGCAGGTGATGTCTTCATACTAATTGAATAGGTCATTAAAAACTTGGGAGATGCCATCATGCATATAGTAGCATAAACACAATATATGTTCTAGGTTACTGACGTTGTATACCAAAAATGAGGGTAAGGAATGATCCTGGTTTATGGTACTAAATTTTGAGTTTGAAGAAATGTAAACTAGGACTGCATCTGCATACTCTTAACTTGCTTGGTTAATGCATTTTCTTAGGAAAGACTAAATAATTATCCATAAACTAGCACAATGAGTTGAGTTCCCATAACTCAATATAGCCTAGAAGCCTTTACTCAAGTTAAGCATGTTGTGTGAATACAGCCAATCATAATAAACACTGAAACAGAATTAATAAAATATAATCTGATCAAACTCCATTTTTATCTATTTATTAGTCAGGCTTGTGAATTTATGGTTCACAATGTCAAACATACTTCAACAATCATATATGTTTGCACTCCACCTATTTAAAGGATCAGGTAGATTTTGTATGCTTGTATGATTTGTATTGTTGGCAATGTTTTTTTTTTTTAAACTGACTGATAGTTTGCATTTTAGGTTTTTTTTAAACAAAAATATAGAATACAATCATTCAAAGATTGATCAGGTCTTTTGTACATTCATTTCATTATCACCTGGAAATCCCAAAGTGCTTTTCCAAAAGACAACTCTGAACTGATCTGAAGAAGCTTCTTGGCTGAGAAGCAAAACAGTTTCAAGGAAAACAAAACCAGGAAAGTCCAGTTGCCTTTTGGAACAACCATGATCTGGATGATTAAGAATCTCCATAGACATATCTGTTCTACTGTGTAGAATAATTAACGAGTTGGATCCTTAAATCACAGGGGGAAGGAAGGAAGGAAGGAAGGAAGGAAGGAAGGAAGGAAGGAAGGAAGGAAGGAAGGAAGGAAGGAAGGAAGGAAAAGTTCTTAAAACAATCTTCCCAAAAGAAAATTAGAAAAAAAATTGCAAGCATATACAAAAATCCTATATAATACTCAGCTCCTCCCATACACAAATGGTTATATTTGTCACATAACCATTGAAAAAAGAAAAGGGGTACCAAAATAAGAAGAACGAAAAGAAAGAAATGGGGGGGGGAATCAAAACCAGACACAGATTAGGCAAGGGAAAAGGGAAAGCAAAGAGAACAAATAAGAGAAAAGTTCTGCTTGGGTGATTTGTTCACACAGTGTATAATACTCTGTGTCCAAGTAATAGTGACCATCTCCTCACATTTGTAAAACTGCAGAATAACATTAGTGAATTGCCATTTGATTCAGACATAGTATGATTGAATGCAGGATGATTGTAGCATGACTATGTTGGATCCAATGCTACATGGTTTGCATAAATAGCACATCAATAATTCTGTTCTCTTCTAGTGCTGTTATCCTTAGAAAAAATGTCTTTGTGTGCATGTATGTTTAATGTATTTGAGTTTAGGAGCAAAATGGTAACTTTAAAAAAAAATCAACACATTTACTTCTCTATCATCACAGAAGGATAGAGGTATGATTAGTTCACTTCAGAGAGTACTCTGTCCCCAATATGGTGAGAGATCTGTGTTGCCAAAAAACTGATAATAAGACACCAACCCCAGCTTTAAGGTCAGCCAAGAAACAAACAAGAGAGAGGTTGTTTCAAAGATGCTGACAGTGGGTTCAAACAAGATGTGAAGGGTTATGCGGTCAGTCTCCTTTTCAGGTCTGCTCTGGTATGTCCTACTCC